TCATCAGCTGGTGTAGTCAAAGGGATAGTCATTTATCTGCCAGATTTAACATCCATGCAAAGCAGTGTTCAACTTTAATAAGTGGTTGAGGAGAAGAAGATACCCCCTCCCCACTGTGGCAACCAATCATTCGTTTGAGTGAAATCCCAGCTCATGAAGAGCAGAAAGGGGATTCTCTTCATGCAGCTGGGCATTTGAATCCCATAATACTAAAGGCCTTGAGAACCACCTTCTGGATTACAGACTACAACCTCTGAGTTGGACATTGGAAACACTGACATTGGTCAACAGTGTTTCCAATGTCCAACTCAGAGGTTGTAGTCTGTAGTCCAGAGTTAAGATGTAATGCAGTGGCAAGTGCAGAAAGAAGCTTGCTAGCAAACCATGCAAATATTTGTGGACTGATCTGCCTCCCTGCACTGGTCCTGGCCAAAGTTGGCACTTTCCACCACCACTGCTCCATTTAGCACTACTCACAAGTGGGCAAGTGAGAGTATTTTTTGGGGTGGGGAGCTCACCACTGAGCAGGCAAAATTTCTGTTTTGGAAAACTGGTCTGTTTTCTTTACCTTCGACATCCGCATTTTCAAAATGTGGGAAAGATCCAGGAAAACAAGATGGGCTTGATGGGTCCTATGACTCAGGATGTTGGCCTAAGTGGTGTCAATGGAAGCTTCAGCTCTGGAGCTGATAGCAGCTGGGGGGAGGTGTGTGGAACATGGTTCATCAGGACTCCCGTGGGGAAGGGTAGAAATCTGCCTCCCACAACACTACAGGTGGAGAACTGGATCTCAGCAGCAGGACAGATGGTTATCTACCCCAGCAATTGTTGGCCATGTTTGACAGGTAGGCAGCTCAATCAACTGACATCACAATGCCTCCCCCCTTTTTTTAATTATCTGCAGGGGTCTTCAGAAGCCCTTTTCAAAGAACTACCTTGAGCTGATTGTCAGATCTTCAGAAGCCCCTTTTAGTGTGCTGGGTAAGATAGTCTAAACTGTGGTCCTATTCCTGATAGAAACACCAGCTCCTGATACTTTTTTTTGTTTTAAAAAAACATGCGCACAACTCCATATGATATGTTTAGCATCAGGCGTAGATTTCCCCTCTGAATTCAGTTTCTGCTACTTTGTTTGGAGTACCTGGTATCCTTGTTTAGTGACATACACACCCTCCAATCAGTTAATCAGCTGTGTCTTCCCATACAAGAATAAGCCAGCATGGCTTACTGCTATAATCATTATCTCTGCAGCCTGCCATGTTAAACAAAACAAAAATATATGATGACTGGTTTGAATTATTGTTCGCAGTGTGTATTCTGCAGCCATGAAGGTAAACTTGGTAATCAGAACACCAGGAATTTATATTGAACATATATTCAAATTGAATTCTAAATTGAACAAAAAACATTACTTTAAAAGCATCCAGAATGAGTTTGCTCAACTGTGCCCCTGCTGTTTTGCTGCTAACCACAATCTAAGAGAACACACAGAGAGTCTGACAAATTGAGACATCACTGGCAATTAATCTTAATTACACAACTGGAAGGGGATATTTCGGCTGGCCAGAGCCCAGAAACAGCAAAACGCTTTCACTTGATAGAAAACCTGAGCATTCTTCTTGATACATACAACCTAATACTTTTTTTAAAAAAAATAAATGCTGGCAGAAATAAAACCCCTCATTGATTAGGAGCCCATCGGGAGGCTGAATTAATGTTTTTCTACATGAACTAGATTGACAGATGACTTTCTGATTTCTTTACACTTCAGAACAGATATGGCTCAGTAGAACATATCCTTAGAAAAAGACGACTAATTTCCCATATCTTGGAGTAAGATTTGTGTAAAAGGACATAGCCAGACATCAAGGTAGAGCTACAGTTTGCACCCAAACCTTTCACTGGGGGATAACATGGATATCAGGATATCGACAAAGTTTGCTACACTCCATTCAGGACAATATTCCTGTCCCTTTTAAGAGATTGCAAATGAGCCAGTATTCATCAGATGTAGCTTTTACCATCACTGCATCAGTATGATGGGGAACACTGTCCTTACGGGGTTTGTTTTTCCCTGCAGAGCACTTAAAAGAAAAATTAAGCCCTGTCCCAGATGGATAGACTTTGCCAATGCTATTCACTACTACCTTTTAAAGATATCAGGCTATTAAGTAGTAAGAGGTGAAAGAGCACCTGTGTCTCTCAGGGCCGATCTGCATATTGTACTAACAGGACATAAACTCCAGGCACTGTGCCAACAGAGGACATAGTACAGACAGTTTTGGGCTGCACACTTAAGCTCCCCTTTGGTCTTACAGCTGTAGTTTCTCTCCAGTCAGCTACTATCCAGGGACCAGGAAAGGAGAAGGAGAGCTTCCTTTACTGGGTTATCCAGCCTGATGCTAAAGCAAAACTTTTCATAAGGAGTGGGATAAAATGCAGACCCCTTAGTTTGGATCTCCTTTAGTTTGTTTGTTTCATTTAAACACATGAATCACAGAATTGTAGAGTTGGAAGGAACCACAAGGATCCTCTAGTCCAAGTCCCTGTATTGCAGGAACCTTTTGCCCCATATGGAACTCGAACCCACAACCCCCAGGTTAAGAGGCTCTTTGTTTACATAGTTTGCACACTTCCATAGATATATGTATTTCTTCTTGGACCTATGCGAAATGCTGCAGCTCTGTACTGAAGCATCAGCTTTGCATACAGAAGCCCCCAGGTCCAATCCAATTGGGACCTCTCAAGTGGAACTAATCCTAGCGAGGATTGTATCTGGTGCTGAATACAAGCTGCATTTGCAAAGGAACAAATCCGGAGTGTGTTTTAAGGCCCCCAATAGTTCCTTTCCAACTGCATCTTTACCTTCTCCATGCCTGACATAATAGATAATGTCAGGTTTGGGTTAGGTGGGCATGGCTTCGCAAAAACAGCATCACAGGCCAAATTATGACCCTGGCCAGGCCTAGTTGGATGTGTAGCCCAGATTTTTCCCACAGCTGCTATACATGACTCAACCATGATACCTCCCAATGGAGATGGGTGAGATTTAAAACTTTTCTCATGGAATGTCAGTGGGATGGGTGAGGCCATCAAACACCAGAATATGGCAGACCACATCATGCAGCACTTCCTGAATGTACTTTGTTGACAAGAGACACATTGTGCAAACTGCTGTGACAGATTTCTAATATGTGGGACAAATCCTGGCTAAATTCATATCTTGGGACGGCATAGGGGAAATGATTCTAGATGTCACTCTCCCAGTACAATGTGAAAAGATTCCCTGTGTGCTATGAGGCTGCTTCGCCTCATCACCTCTAGTTGTTGGGTTTTAGTTGTTTTGATTGTGTTTGTGTATGCTGCAGCCCACCCTGGGGACGTCTGCTGAAGGGCGGGTAAGAAATGCAATAAATAACCATAATACTCCCCAGCATTGCCCATTAGGGCTAGGAAATAATCCCACCTTTAGTCAGTGTATGCAATACTGAGCTACATGGATCAATGGTCTGACTCAGAGTAGGGCAGCTTCCTGTAACCTCATGGAGCAAATGCATGAGGAAGAGGTGGGATTGTGCCCTTCCTTCAGCCACACTGCACCCCAGTGGCCCAGCCCTGACCTCCATGCACATAGCTGAAGGTCTGAAAGGAGGCTTTATTTATCTATGGAAAGCATTAGGAATCCGCTTTCTGCCTTCAAAGGTGCCAAGGTAACATGCAATAAGGAAAACAGTACAAGAATAAAAAACACTATAAAAGGAACAAAATCAGACAGCAGAATTTAAAAAAACCATCAAAACCAGATGAAACAAAACCGTTCATCTAGCACTAGGCAAAGATGGAGCCATCTTGGCCTTCCTAAGAAGAGAGTTTCACACTCAGGATGCTTCTGTAGAAAAGGCCTTGCCCCTGGTACTCATCAACCTAGCCTCTCTTGGTTGTACATACAGGCCTCTGGTGAAGATGAAAAAATTTGTGCAGGCTCACATGGGAGGAGCTCTTTCAGATAGTTTGGCTCCAAATCATCTAGTGCTTTATCAGTAAGAACCAGCACCTTGAATTGTGGTCAGAAACAATTTGGAAGCCAATGCAGTTGACACAAGACCAGTCTGACAATTTTCACACTGGTCGCTATTTCTAAATACTTGTCCACAGCAGTCCTCACTCTTTAAGCTTCATGCATGCAGGTGCTTCACATGATCTAAACACCTTGCACAAACATGGTTCCCATGAACACATCCAACTTACATACGTGGGCAGCAGAAAGGGGCAGTGGAAACCACACTGATATGGATAGAGCCCAAAGTGCATTCGTATCTTCTCGTGTGGAGGGTGAGCCTGTGTTGTGGCTGGTGGAAGGAGGTTTCCCTGGGACTCCTGACTGAGACGCCAACCCAGACAACACTGGAAATACTGGGCTGTCCATCATGAAAGGAGACACCTGGGCAGGTTAATTCAAATCAATGTACTATATCACTTACACAATAGCTGAAAACAGCACAAACACTTGAATGGCAAATTGCAACATTTGTACATTTCCCGTGTTATTGTTTGATGATTAAGATTTCAGACAGGAAAGCCGGCAGAACAATGTGAAAGAATTACCACGGCTAATCAGAAATAATCAAAATATAGGCATGGATAAAAAGAAAGTGAATTATCTGAAAGTAGGATTGGATGTAAAGAGTGGGTGGTGGGAGTAAGTATGAGCGCACGAAAAGATATTAAGAACAGCTGGCATAATCATAAAAGCCCAATTTGAACTACAACTGACAGAATGGAAGTTACTTTATTGTTGCAGCAGCATTCCTTCTCCCACTTAATCCATCTAAGCTGAAGCATTTGCACAATGAAAGGTGGAGCTAGGAAACAGTCTACAGATGCCCCCACTCCTACAGATTCCAATTCTTAATTCCTTAAAAAAAAAACCTAATCCTCTTAAAGCTAAATTCAAGTGTTATGCACATTAAAATATTATATAGTATTTATGTTGGACCTACCCGTGCTTTTCTCTGCTCGGTATCAATGGGATTTTGTTGTGGCTTTCATCAGCATGGATAACCTGAGCGACATACTCCCCACTTTGCTGGAAGTATCTGTAGACAGCCACTTGCACAGTGCAGTCTTCACTAGTGCTTTTCAGCCAAGGGCTCAGAATGAGGAAGTTCATGCTTTCTGATGTACTGAGGTATAGGAACGAGCCTGCAATGAAAGAGAAGAGAAGAAGCTGATTACCCTCCCCAAAAGTGTAAATGATAACAAGGATTGTTTACCTTGAAAAACAACTGTTCATTCTAGAGTCAGTCTGGTGTTATTGGATTGTTCATCTAAAATGCCACTAAAGTTCTAAAGTATGGCATCTGCACACAAAACCTGAACCGTCATTCCAGACTCTGAAATGGAGCCAAGAAGAGCTACTGGGACTTGGCATGTATGAAAAAAGCCGATGGTGCCATAAACCCAAATCAGTAAGAAATCTCAGTGCCAAGATATGCTCAGGGGGCTCAGGCACAGAATACCTGGCATATACTTGGAAAGGCGTTTCTGGAACCATAGCCAGATTCTCATTAGTCCTCCTGATTGTAACAAGGAATATACCAAGGTTGCAGCTATTGTCAAATTATCTTTCTTTTCTTTTCTTTTTTCTTTGGTCCTGGAACTGACCCTAGGAATTCGGAGTCATGTGTTTACTTAAACATTTGCCTTACTTGCTGATTGAGAAATGTGAACAACCCTAACCCATGTCTACTCGGAAGGTACTCCTATTGAATCCATTGGGATTTATTACCAGGTTAGTGGGATTAGGACTGCAGCCCTAGTTTCCATTAGAAGAAGATCAGTGGAGGATTGTGTGGTATTTTGGTTTGTTTAAAAACATGTAAGTTCAGCAGATAGCTTAAACATTCTAATAGACAGGAAAATTTGCTGCCTCACATCAGTTCTCCAAATGCAGCCAGTCTCCAAGATGCTAACACAGCCCTAATATGGTTGCCATATTTTGAAGAGCAAAAAAGGGGACACATATGCTGACTTCTACTTTTAACTAGGGATCACTATGACGACTCTACCCATGAAAAAGGGGACTTGTCCTGGAAGAAGAAGAAGAAGAAGAGAGAAGAAGAGGAGGAGGAGGAGGAGGAGGAGTTTGTATTTGATATCCCGCTTTATCACTACCCTAAGGAGTCTCAAAGCGGCTAACATTCTCCTTTCCCTTTCTCCCCCACAAACACTCTGTGAGGTGAGTGGGGCTGAGAGACTTCAGAGAAGTGTGACTGGCCCAAGGTCACCCAGCAGCTGCATGTGGAGGAGCGGAGACGCGAACCCGGTTCCCCAGATTATCAGTCTACCACTCTTAACCACTACACCACACTGGACAAATGGCAACCCTACAACTCACTTCCCTTCCTTTTTCCTCTGTATCTACCGGTAACTCAAACTGCAGTCTCTCTGTCTCTCTGGTTCTTTTCATACACACTTTGCTTAGCTCATCCATACCTGGTGAGGGAAACCCCCTCCCTCAAACCCAGCTTTGAGAATACATAGGCTGTGTACCAGCTTAAAATGCAGAGAATTTCTTCTTTTTCACAGCACAGTATTTCAAATGGCATTTGCACATTAGCATGGCTTGATTTGTACAAAAGTCCCCTGCTGTATGACCACCCCAGTGGGCGGAGACCAGACGGGCAGTTCCCAATTCGGAATGAAGCTGTTTGGGGGCAGGGAAAATGCATCAAAACACAGTATTTCACAAGAAACTACAGGCTGCGAATTGTGACTTGTGTGTACATGGCTTCCCAAACAGTAATAGGTGTGTGCAGCACATATCGTTAGGATGTGCACCCAGGGATTTTTATTCATTAGTTATTTCAGTGAAGAATGGGGGGTGGGGCAACAAGACAAACAAATAAGGACAATGAAGAGGCAAAAATCTAGCAAAACAACCCCAACAAGAGTGGTCAAGAAGCCAAAAGAGGGAATTTTTCTTGCAGAGAAAAGGGCCCATGCCAAGCTGACTAGAGGCAGGGCTGCTTGTTTTTTGTTACTCATTTTGGAAAATGTTGTCTGTCAATGACAAGGCAGCCCTAATTTGCAGCAAAAGGCATTTTATATGCTATAGGCATTTAAATATATATATCCTGGGACCTTTAGCATACATATGACATCCAAGGAAGAAGTGGTGGTGGTTTCATACCAAAGTGACAAACTGTGTTGTGGGGCAGTTTGACAAGGTTATTAAAGCTGTAATCTATTCATACATTGCCCAGAAGTAAGTATTACTGAATTAAATATTGCTAACTTCTGAGAAGACATTATATGTGCTGCAAAAGTGTTGCATACTATATGGACAGCCCCAGAGAGAAAAATACAATATTAACGCTAATAGAAGAAAAGAAGGAATTTTACTATTATCCACAAACACAGAGTCTAACATTTCTACAATATTTGGTTCAGGATGAGTGCTTAATGTAATTTCATTACTACAGCAGTTTGTTCTGACATTGTTATTTTACATGCACCTAATCCATATTAAAGAGTTTTGTCATTATCTGGTACATCAGTTCTCTTGGAACTGACTTATTCAAATAAGGTGGCAGAGATTTATCTGAAGGATAAAAATAAATTAAAAAAATATTTATATATATATTTCAAGCTGTGTTTAAGTTCAACATTTTAGTCCTCTACAGATTAAAAAAAACAAAGCTGTGTGTGACACAAAACCAACAAAAATATATACTTACTAATCAAATATACAGAAGGAATATAACTACTTCAACCATTATAAAAGCTGCCTGCTTGTAGCGAGTATACCAGATGCATCTTGGGATGAAATAAGCTCTTGCCTATAAAAACTCACACCACAATGCAGTTGTTAATTGAGGGACCATGCTGCTTTAAGTTCTAGAAAATACTAGAAGGCAAAAACCACAAAGAGACTGCATGAATATTACTTAAGGCAAGGATAGGGAACTTCAGGCTTTCAAAATGTTGATGGACTCCAACTCCAGTCAACCCGAGCCAGCATGGCCAATGACTTGAGATTGTGGGAGCTGTATTCCAAAACCACATGATGGTTTGCCTGCTTTCTTTGCCAGCCTGTGCCCTAGGAGCTCTGTCTGCCTGCAGCCATTCAAAGGAGGATCTTGGCAGCTTCCCCTGTCATGGTCATGGAGAACTCAACCAAAACTCTGTATCATGCATTGAAGATTACATTAGTTTCCCCAGTATCATTGAGAAATGTTTGGCTTCTTGGACCATGGCCTCTGCTCCCTTGAGGAAGGACGTGTAGTAGCTCATAGTGGCTGGAAAAAATGAGTTTGCTAAGAATTGCATGAACCTGATCAGGAGAGCTTTAGGGGAAGGGAGACAAGATTACAAAAGACAGGAGAACACCCAGTATTGGGGATAATAGCTTCAACTGATGAACAGGAAACTACAAGAAGGAAGCAGCTAGAGAGAATGACTCATGATTTCAGTTGTCTCTATAATAATGCACAGCCTATAGGAAACAAGCAAGACGAACTTAAGCTCTTGATACAGGATGACAAATATGACCTGAAAGGCACTGCTGAAACTTGGTAGGATGAGACTCATGATAGGAATGTAAAAATTGAGAGTCATAACCTATTCTAAAGAAGAGGAGGAGGAGGAGGAGGAGTTTGGATTTGATATCCTGCTTTATCACTACCCTAAGGAGTCTCGAAGTGGTGAACAATCTCCAGGAATAGACCAAACAGGAAGGGAGGAGTAGGAGTATTATGCGTAAAGGATGAGTACACTTATGAAGAGCAGCATGGAAGGCAGCATGGAACTTGCAGCATGGAAGGCAGATTGAGAGTATATGGGCAAAAATTGTAGGAGAGGAAAGTAACAGTGACCTTATTGTGGGTGCCTGCTATAAACCTCCAAGCCAGATTGAAGACTTGGATGATCCTTTCCTAGGGCAGATTACAAAACATTCAAAAGTAAGAGGAATATCAGTCTTCTGAATAATCACTTTTCTGTATGAAAAAAGTATTATCATTTGGATTGCCATGTTTCCCTATTGTGCAGAGGTAAAAACAGCCTCTGGCCAGCCAAGGGGCTTTTCCAGAATGCCCATCTCATGTGTGATGGGAAGGTCCTTCATATGTCAGAATGTCAGAAAATACATTTTCATTTCTGCAGAATTTACCACCAGTCAATAGTATGTTTTACAATCATGTCTTTCAACCTTCTACCGAAAACCACAAGAATTAGAGCTCTAAATCATGTAGATTTAATCATGTATCTCTCAGAGGAATGCAGAAATCACTGAGATGAGAGAGAACAAACTGATCTCAGCTGCTCGCAGACATATTTCTGAAGGCTGAAGTAATTGCAAATTATAACCTTGCTGATTCACAGGATGTTTGATCATTTTTTTGTTTCTTACAAAGAAGGGTTTCTTATATAATAAAAAACTGAAAAGAAGCTAGGCTGTTTCTTCCTCAGGTTGGGCAAAGCTATGCAATAGACTGTTACTGAACATTTCTGACTCCCTAATAGTTTGATGCCAGCTGTGCCAGCTAGCTAGCATGGCACAGATTGGGCCCTCCTTGCCAATAATAATAATAATAATAATAATAATAATGTGGCAAATAGTTGGAGTCAAGGGTGAATCCAGAAGTTTTGGTGGTCCACGGGCAGAATTCAATGGCTCTGGAAAGCCAAGGGATGGATCCTATAACAAACACTTCAGACTCAAGTGTCATTGTTGCTTACCTGGGTGATGGTCCCTGTAGCTCCGATTTCACTATCACCCTACCCTACCATGTCCTGGTAAGTGCTGGTGCTGGGAGGTTAACTCTGTGCTCCCACTCCACCTCCTGTGTTCTGCTGCATGGTGCTAATAGTCCTGCTAAACCAGCCTTCACAAACCTAGTATCCTTCAGACGTTTTGGACTACAACTCCCATAAAGTCCCATCAAGCACAGCCATACTTGATAGGTTCTTATATTCTATTATCCCACCAGGCCTGGCAAGCACAGCCATAGTTGTCCTCCCAAAAATATGGAGGGCACAAGTTCTTGAAGGCTGAGGTACATCTTCCCCAACAATGATGGAGCATCTCAGTATTAGAAAGAAAAAACCCTGAAGATGCTACCAGTGGAGCACAGAGCCTGAAAGACGATTTTTATAGATCCCATAGAACAGGGGTGGCCAACTCCCAAGAGACTGCGATC